TCATACAAACTGCAGGTGGGCGTTTTTAAAGATATATAATTTTAACGAATACAGTTGAAACTCTATTTATGTCTGCCTCCCCTGCTTTTCCAAGATAAACCATGATCTTGGAGTTTGTGTGTTTTTTTTCCATTTATACATTTGCTACAAATGCATGTGTGCATAAACAATTGATGGTATTGTATGGTGTGTTTTTTTACAAAAAATAGAACTACCTCTCATTTTGACCTTGTTCTTTCTCCTCAATTTTATGAATTTCAGCTTGGAGTCTCAGACATGTTACAACAGTAAGGGTGTTAGTGAACATCTGGCCACTACTTGTTTTATTAAATTAATCTTAGTTTTAAGAAATTATAATTATATAAAATTAAAACTACATATTTAATTTCTACTCCATATACAGAATTACTGTAATATGCTTAGGTACTTCCTTCCAGCCTTTTTATATATCAGTTTTTTTGCATAATTAAAATCAAATGTTAATATTGAGATAGTCATTTAATACTACATTATCATCTTTCCCCCCATTCCTACATGACCCTTTTGACAATCATGTTTAATGCTCTAACATGATCCATCTAATGTATAACCATCCCTCTATTCTGAGATATTTAATATATTTTTGTTTTACAACCTTCTCTAAAAATAAGACTGCAATAAATGAAATAAAAATAACCTTTGTACTTGTTAGTTTTTATTATATTTGGTGTCATTTCCTCAGATTAAAATCTGCAAAATCTTTTGTAAAATATCTGCCCTACTACACATTTTTATTTGCTATCTTAAGGTCAGAGAAATATGAATGTACTGTTAGTATAATAAATGCTTATATATGGACTTTTAAAAATACACAAAAGTTATCATATTACCTTCTTCTCTCCAGAACTAGGAAGTAAGAATAGTAAGATTGCCTTTAAAAAGTTAAATGACGATGAATCAGAGCATAATATCAAATCACCTAACCTGATTGAATACATTAACATGTATAAAGAAAAATGTGTTAACCAAAGAGCTTGCTTTCCAGTCCCAGAGGCAAAATCTCACTGCTATGTTTCATTGTAAATTAATAAATTAATTAAATGAATAACTCACTTATTGTGATTTGACTTCCTCTAAAGATTGCCCACGGGGAGAAAATGGCCTTGTCAAGCAGATACAAATATTCCAGTTTTTGAAGCAATTACATTTCTCCTTGCAAATTGAATTGACATTTAGTTCCAAGATTCTGTTTAGCATTAGTCTGCCACTAAGAGATAAATCCCCTAAACCTAAAATCAGGCTTTGGAATATGTAAGGCATTTGATCAGACTCCCCACCAGACCCTTCCTGCCTTGGGGGGCTTCCAGGAGACAGCCATGTCATTTTTTTCCATAATAAAACATGTTTAATTCCATAAAATCAATCTTTTCCTTCACAGCTTCCCTTATTGCTTCTACATATAGAAATGATATTCCTTCTAGAGACTTGTAAAACACTCAATTTTATTAGTTCTATTGTTTGGCATTTTAAGCATTTACCAATTTAATTCATTCAGTAGGTTGTATATCAAGAAGAGCTCACCATTCATTCATTCATTCATTCATTCATATTATAGCTTTTTACCAAGTGACTACTAATGAAAATCTACATTTTTGTCAGGTGCTAAAAACAAAGAACTGTAAAAATCTCAGTCTAGAGGAAATGCACCAGTTTGCAGTGCCTTGGAAGGTCAGCAGTGCTGTGGGAGTTGGAAGTGAGGGACCCATCTAAACCCTGGGGGGCGGGGCTGGGGTTGGAGAAATGGGAGGTGTGAATATGGGAGGGGAAGATGCAGGGGAGGCTGGGAGTTGGGATTAACAGAGCATTCTGGAAAGGGACCACAGCCCCAGAAATTAAAGAGAGCAAGGCTTATTTGGGCAATGGGAATAATTATAAAATAAAAAAGAGTAGGAGAGTGGGGGCTGAGAGATTCTCAGAGGGTTGGACAGGAGAAGAAAGTAGTGATGGACCAGGACTTGATTTATTGCAGGGGTCACTTGTCAGGAGAATCCCTACTGAAATCCTAGACTGTTGTGTTTTAAACTGTCATGGGGGTTGGCAAGCTTTTTCAACAAAGGGTCAGATAACAGATATGCCAGAGGGTCTCTGTCACAACTATTCAACTCTGCTGGTTGCACATGAAAAGAGTCCTAGATGATATACAAACAAATGGACATGGCTGCATTCCAATAAAGCTTTATTTACATAACCAACAGCAGGCTGGTGTTGGCCAATGGCCCATAACTGACTCATCACTATTACAGAAGAGTTTCTGCAGAAGAGTAGATAATCATGTTAGGAAATAACAGAGGTCAAATAAACTCACATCTGAAACCGCAGAGTAGGTTTTGTCTATTTGCAGAAGCTTTTATACTATTTCATTTAGAACTCTTCTTTCAGGAGAAAAAGCGTTAAACAGGGAATTAATAGAAAAAAATATTTAATTAATAATTTGATGAATAATACAGGTAATATATTCATCCCAATGCTTTCATCAAAAAATGAAAACCCCCCCAATTTTTAAAACTTGAAAAAATAAATGCTTTTCATTTGTATACTATTTTAAAGAATGCATTATTTCTGCTAACTTTCACAATAACCATAATATACATGAAACTTGAAGACAGGATATATATTTTATTCAAATTATTCCAGGAACCCAGGAAAACACCTGGTACAGGAGAAGTTGTGTTAAGATACATTTAACAGAGAGCGAATATCGCATCTTCTATAAAACATATGGAAAATTTGGTCTTAGAGAGGTTAAATGTATTAATAAGGTCACATAAACAGTGTCAAGGAAGAACTAAAATCCAGGTTATCTGAGTCCTGGATTTTTAATTTCATTTATACTCAACAATCCCAGATATGAAAGTGATCACAGGGCTAAACATATAGCATAATTAATGCCGCATGAATACACACAGGTTATTGAAGTGTCTTCTATGGAATGAACGTATTGTCTTTGTTTGCTCAGAACTCCCCTCCAAGAAGGCAATGCCTCTCACCCTCTCTCCAGAAGCACCATGTCAATGCAAGCGAAAACATCTTTGGCCCAACCTACTTAGGCCGTGGATGGGCAATCCAGCTCACACGAAGCCTGAGCAGTTAAGACTGTAGAAAAGAAACTTAGAAGTTATTAACATACATTTTATCATGTGGATTGGGGAACGGAGATATCTAGCTTGCAACAAAAGAAAAGAATGAAGCAATTTACTGAGAGGCTTTTGAATAAAACTTGGGGAGAGAGTACTGAGCAGAATTGAGTTGGTCAGGCTGTTCTACGTGACTAGATATAATCTTATCCCTGGGTTCCATAGGGAATCCTGTGGTCCCTAACATACTTGATCATTTCCATTTTGGTTTGTTTCTATTTTTAGCCAGTTTTACAAAGCAATGCCAAATACAGAGAGTCATTAAGTGGGCACACGGTCAATGTTTATCTGGGTTTATCTGACTTGACTCTGGAGAAAATCTACATTAATGAAGTTAAGAGGAGAATTAAGACAGTTACCCAGGAAAAAAAATACATGCAAATTACTTTTCTGAAATCTTTAGGTACGAGGCAAATATTCCCCAACGGAAAAAAATCTGCCTGACTAAATGGGTTCGCTTGATACCAAAGAAACTGTGCCATTAATTACATTCATGTAATGAGCTGGCTAAATTCAGAGAAAATTCTGACCCGCAGTCTTCCAGACAAAATGCTGATTGAGGCTGTTCCAAATGGCAAAAGGAACTCTTCTCTATCACCAAAACAGAGTAGATGAAAAAGTCTCTTGGCCTGCTGTGTCTCTGTATTAGTTTACAGATGGACAAAGACCAGCAAAGTGTGGTCACTCTGCTATAACTGATGTATGACTGAAAAATATTTAGATGACAGATAGGCATGAGCATGCCCAACTAAGTCATAAAAACTTCAATAGAGGAACCTATTCCCCTTCAAAACTGCACAAGCATAAGGGATTTGGAAGTAATTGGCACCTGTTCTCTTTGGAGTAAAGGAGACTGAAGGATAGTATCAAAGTATCAGCAGGTGTGTCTGATAAACATGCCTCCTCTTTTCAATATATAATATGATCTTCAAGGTTAGTGGTTCTCAAGGCCTGCTCCCAGGACCAACTGCATCGGCATCACCTGGGAACTTGTCAAAGGTACAAAGTCTTGGGTCCCACTCACGACTACTGAATCAGGAACTCTGGGTGTGGGGCAGCCATCTGTGACTCCAAGGCATACTGTTACGGATTGAACTGTGTTCGTTCATGCCCTTCCCCCATCAGGTTTGTATGTTGAAGCCATAAACACCAATGCGATGATATTTGGAGGTGGGGTCTTCAGGGGATAATTAGATTTCGATGGGTCATGAGGATAAGGTCTTCGTGAGAATCAGCACCCTCAAGAGATCAGGGTACTTATTCTCTCTCTTTGAAAAATCCAGGGGTCTCATCCTAAGAAATAGCCTTGATATTTCTCAATAAATGTCACTATGGTTATCTTGTTTCTCTTGCTAGAAGATAGGATGTCTGGTCATCTTTTTCTCCATGTTTATGATATTATAAAGTATCTTTTCCTCCACCTCCTACATCATTGAAAGTCACTGGATTGTATTTTCCTGTTTCTGTGTTAGTATGTCAGGAAAATAATAGCTAACTTTGTTATAAAACTTTCTACATAGTAAGAAAAATTTCTATAACATTTAGAAAATGATAGCTATTGAATTTTCCAGTCATGGGGACATAATCTTCGAAGAGCTCTCATTGACATAACTTACATAAAGGATCAGATGGAGAGAAGAGATTCTGCTCTTCAGCTTTGACTGATGCCATGCTTCCAGTTCCACTCCTTACCATACGTGATGCTAGAACACTTGAAATTTATTCCAACAATTGACCTCACTGAAAAAAAGTGCTAAAATGATTTGTTTAACAAGCGTCATAAAACTGTATCAATATAGAATTAACCTCTGCTTGCTTCTGTTGCAGCTCCATCCAGGACCGCCCGCCTGGCTGATGGCAGTGGCCCCCATGAAGGCCGAGTGGAGATTTTCCACGACGGCCAGTGGGGTACGGTCTGTGACGACTACTGGGAGTTACGTGGGGGACAGGTCGTCTGCAGGAGTTTGGGGTACCCTGGTGTTCTCACAGTGCATAAGGAAGCCCATTTTGGACAAGGTAATTTTCTTTAATTTTTTTCTTTAAACGAAGCATGGACATTCTTTTATATGTAGAAGCCAGCAGAGGGAGAGACTATGGTACAAGTAGAAAAAGTCTCTGTAGGATGTTTTAAAATGGCCTTTCCTAGAAAGTAGAAATGAAAAGAAGGGGATATTAAAATCAAAGGCCATATGCTCTCTGACAACCTTCAACATTTCAATTTTATTTAGATTCAGTGGGTTAGGTGGAGGGGACTAACACAGAGGAAAATAGAGTGATTGGCAAAGCTGGACTGGTGAATTAACTACTCCACTGCCAGAATCTGTGAAGCGGACAGCTGCAGTTAAAATGGCAGGAGGACAGTTGTCCTTCCTGTGGACCTGCTCTGCAGGGAGATGATGGCCCAACGTTCTTCGGTTTTAGAAATAACAGCATGTGATGATCTGAATTCTTGGATGTGCCCTAGCTGACAAAATGAAATCTAGTTTCTCGATTGTCTATGTATAATTTAATCAATGTGGGCTAGCTGAATAGCTCAGTACAAAGTGACTAATAACACTAAAATCACTTTCATCAAGATGACTCGCACCTTATCTTATCCAGAGGGTTGACAACTATGCATTTAGCTTTGTATCTTTAAGGAACAAGCCTGGTGGTTCAATTTATTAATTTCTCCTGTCTCAAAGGAAACCTTTAATCTGTTACAAAGCAGAAACCAAATTTAGAGCAAGAGCAGTCACATATGTACGTTAATTCACGGGAAACTGTTAATAAGGTTTGGCAAAATACAATCTGTTGTAGGAAAGCAAATAAGCAGTTGTACCCCAGCTTTATTTCCCCTCCCAATCCCAAGCCTTGTCATAGACTTCAAAGCTGTTTTTCCACTGAAGTTCCAAACAGAGATGGTCAAGTCACAGCTGGACGCCACTGTTTCAAGATCACATGGACTTTAAGGCCTGGTCTCACAAGTACCTTGTTCTTCTGTCCCACAGCTTTTATCCAGTCCTGCTTATATCTCTGGGGACTTCCCATCTAGGGCAGTGGTACAAAGGAAGAAAACAAGTGTTGGAGAATACTGGCAGGGAAACGTTTTCTATTTAAATAAGTAACGAAACAGTAGAGTTTAGTCTCTTGTGAATTTTTTTTTTGCCTTTGTGGAGGCAATTCTCTTAAGTTTCCTTCAGATAACTGACTACTTCTCTAAGATGAGTGTCTGTTTTTACTGAGACTGTGTATTCACAGTAGTCGGTGGTTCTATAAATTACACTAGAGTTTCACTATAGTAAAACAGCAAGGCATGTCAGAATTTTGGTTTTCCTTTCACATGTTTGAGTGCCTGCTGAAGTGGATTTGGGAACTAAGGAGATATGAGCTGAAACTTTAGCGCTGATACCCATGTCTCAGAGTTTCCATTTCTTTTTTTTTTTTCAATAAAATGAGAATAATAATAATACCAAGCCAGATTTATTTGGGATCTTAAAAGAGCTGGCATACTGAAAAGTGCCCAGTACAAAGCCTGCTTCATAGCATTGCTCACCAGAAACAACGGTATTATTTTAGGCTTTTTTTCCATCCCCTTTGAAAGGCAGAAGAGTCCGGTGTGTGTTAGTGTATTGTACAGTGACAGCAGTGGTGTGCCAAGGCCCAGGGGAATGTGATGTCCTACTGTGCGGAGAGGGGTGTGGCTGACGTGCGCTGCATAGAAGCCCAGACCATCTCCCCACTGCCCCCAAGGAGACCCAGCTCTTGTCTCTGCCCACTGTGTGGACAGTACCCAGATTTCAGTACCAAGCATGTGAAGAATGAGTATGAGGATTTCAAAATAATACAGCAAGATGAGCCAGGAGAATTAATACAACTGAAGTTATTTGTTCTGAAAAATCTGAGAAATAAATTTCATGATCTGTTTTATCGTACGTTTTATTTTAAGAAACAGGCTTACATTGTAAGCTGATTTTGGATTAGACACAGCAAACAACCTTTTTATGTAAAGCTGCATAAACTCCTCCTTATTTTTCCACTCCTCCACCTTAAATTTACAGTGTCACTCTGGGGGAAAAGAAAAAGCAATTTCGAATACAGCATAGAGACAGGAAAGAGAAATATGAGTGGAAGGGTTGGGGAGAGAAAAGATGCATTAGAATTTTAATTATTTGTCATACCTTAGGAAAGTAAGAAGAATCAGACTAATAATATATATATTATTACCAAAACTGAAACAAGAATTAAAAAAATTGAATTTACCTTATTTGTATAATTCCCCCATTAAAGGAAGAATATAATTTTCTCAATGCAGTTTCTCTCTCTCTCTCTCTCTCTCTCTCTCCCTCCCCCCATCCCTCCTCTCTTTCTCTCTCTCAGTTTAAAATAGCAAACCTGGCTAACCAGAGATAATCCTTGTTAGCGTTATGAAGGATTAGTTTTGCAGCTGCAAGAAAAATGATTTATAGAAATGAAGCTTACAGCATGCTCCTTTAAATAGATTTCTTCATTTGGGTGTACCTTTTGCTAAAGTGGAATGTTCTTTTTTTTTCCCCTTTTTTCCTGAGTAGACATAAAGGTTAAAATAAGGAAGCACTGAGAGGCATTTTGCCCCTCATTGCATGGGGAAGGGAAGAGGGGGTGAGTCACCTCTCTCTCTCCGCCCTCCAATCTGTCCTCCCAGTAGCAAACTGGTCTCCCTGCAGCAAACTTGGATGAGCTTTGCCAGACAACGGCGGTACTCTGGGAATTTGTTCCAGGCAAGTCAGGGCCCATGAGCAAACGCAGGAGGTGTGAGCAGGGCCTGGAGCAGCGATCTTCTCACTTCGCACTAGTTTGTGCTAAAGCACCAAACTTGAGAGCAGAGACAAAAGAAGATTCTAAACAGAAATGTCATCTTTTATTCATTACCTCTTTCTCAATCCGTAACCAATTTTCTAAGTGGAATTTAAAATAAATACGAGAATAAATTGAAAGAGATCAAAAAAGATAACTATACCTCTGAACTGTGCTTTAGTAAATGGGAATAAAAATAATCTCAAAGATAATTAAAATATCTCAATGGATCAGAACTCAAATTCTTACATAGTGCACCATGCACAAGGAAAGTTTTAAAAGATGTTTACATGTTGAATGTTATGCAACCTGATACAGGGCCTATAGGGTTCTTATGGTAACAAAGACAGTACGAAGCAGGAATAATATTGTATAGCAAGTGCTTGTTGCATGGTCTCATTTAGCGCACACAGCACCTGTGAGAAGTAGCTGTTTACAAAGCTACTATGGTATTATGGTGGTCGGGCGTGTCTAGATTCATTGTCCTAACCTACGTCTCTAAGAGACAGCATGTTTTTTACCCTTAAGAACTTCATATCTGAAAATCATGCTTCTTCAAAATCTTAAAATCATAGAATTTTAAAGGTAAATGAAATTTTAGAGGTACTTTAGCCATACCCATTTATTTTGCATATATAATAAAATAGGGGCAATACACAGCTTCTTTAGAACCACAGAACTAGAATCCAGAGCTCTAGCCTGTTTAGCCATTCTCTATTCAGATTCCCATTCTGTTTTCAACTTTGATCCCCCACCCCTGCAAAACAAAACAAAACAAATAAACAAAAAACAATGTTTTTCTGGAGCTGTTGACAAAGTACTTCCTTATTAGAAGTCTTAAAAGTGATACAAATTCACCTCACCCAGCCATAACTGGATTTAATGCAAATTCATGCAGAAATTTTTAAACACTTGCGGTTTTACTTCCCCACATATCTAGTCAGCAGCTAATCACAAATCTCATTGCTTTGATGTAGCTAATGTAAAATATCTGATTCCCTTTTTTTCCCCCACAAAGTGGTGGGTTTCTGAAGATTAGATTAAATGAATTCAAATCCCTCAAAGAACAACAGTATCTGTATTTTAAAAAAAGAGAGCGATTAAGGGAAAATGGTATCATCTGTCAAGCATAATCCCAACATCACAAGCCAAGCTCATAAAACCCCAGAGGACATGGACAGTCCATTTGTCATTGCCTGCTTTTGGAAGCACCAAGTCCGTCAGTTGGAATCCCCACAGCCCTAAAATGTTAAAGGGGATTGAAGCTGTACGACTGAGTAGATAGATAGATAGAATTAGAGAATAAAAACGTCTAAAATATACATACCAATTTTGTATAGGTTTCCACTAAGGAGAAAGGATAGTTTGGAGGCAAAAAATAACAATGATAGCAGCGACAACAAAATCCTTGAGTAACAATTATTATCTAAAGAAACAAAAACAAATTTGTTTTATCTTTGTGGTTTGCATGAAGATAACATTTTATTAATTTTATACTACCTTAGCATTTATTTTAATGCAGAAAACAATTTGGAAGGCTAGGGGAATTCTGTATTAAATAAATTTTCCCCTTAGGCGCTATAGTTCTGAATATATTAATATAAAAATAAAATGACACATCTGAAAATTATTTTCAAAACTCCATTTGGGCTTCTGTGTAGTCACTGAATACCATCACGGTTTAAAGGTTATTATATTCTGTTGCTTGGCTCTGTTCTTTCTGAGAGAGCTGTTCATCCTGTCTGCGTCTCAGTTTATTTACCCATGAAATGGAGACAATGGCCATGATTTTACAAGCTTATTAGAAGAGCACATTTTAAAAATCATAGGTGAGAACAGATACAGTATGTGCACTGTATCTGAAAGCATGTTCACTGCATTTGAGTCTTTTCCCCGTAGGAGAGCCCAGAGTCCCCGAATGGCACCCTCTGTTTTTCATAGCTGTGGAGGAAGAGCTAGGAGGCCTAGCTGCAGCGTCAGCTCTGCCACTACACACCTGTGTGACCTCAGCTGCTCCATCTGCCTAAAACAAAAGTCCTCCTTAGGAGGTCAGTCCAAGAGAGAATGCACTTTGATTTTGCTCGCTCGTGTAGGCCCTCAGAACATCTGTTGAAGGACCGAATCTAATAATGCAAAGCATCGCAGTAAATCAATGATTGTGGGCCCTGGCTCTAGGCAGCCCCGGGGGAAACGCTTCATCGTGCATTAGCTGCGTGACCTTGAGCAAAGTTACTGCCTCCGATTTTTACTTTCCTCCACAGTCAAATGGCACTATAAAAGCACTTACCTTTTTAAGGTTATTTTAGGATTCAATGAGATAACCCATCAAAAGTACTTTGAATGTTTCGGGCCACACTGTGAATTCTTCAAAGAGTGGGTTTAAATATTCATTATTATTACGACAGAAGGGAATTCCAACATTCATGACTTCCTCTACTGTGGTTTCTAAACACTCGTGCCCGCGTGCCAGCACATTCATTCTGACAAAATATTCTGTCTTGTCTGACCCGGTGGGGGTGGCCCTGCTGGTGTGACTGTCATTGGGAGGTCCCACTCGTAATTCTCTTTTCCCGAATTGTAAAAACGCGGCACTGCTGAGATCCAAACCCAGTGACTAGATCTAGGAAATGTGGAGTAAGGGAAAGCATTCTGGTACCTGGGCCCAGAAGCCACGGATCCGTACCATTCCCGTGTGCCCAGACATGATGGAGCCACAGTTTTCAGAAGAACATTTACTCCCGACTATTTACACAATTTATAAATGTCCAGAGATGTAGTGAGTGCGATTTATAAATGTTCCATTATTTTGACTCCCTTCCGTGTTAACATAAGAGTAGTTTTACTGTTTGTGCAGCTTTTATTATTTGGCTATATTTTTGAGTAGCCCTTGGGAACTTCCAGAAAGTTGGTATAGATTTTATACATAGTATCATTTTCAAAAACATGCATAAACATACTCATACATACAAACACTCACAAACATGAAAAGGAACAATATATGTACCTATAAGAGCAATTTGGGAACCAGAAAGTATTCTTGGGAAGATTTCTGATTTTGAGATCATATACCATTCATCTTTTTTAAAAATGTAGATGTTTAATGGCATAGATGTAAAATTTACCATTAAAACAAACAAAAAATTATTTTAGATAACATTTATCCCAAAGAGAAAGAGCTAAGTATACAATTTGACTATAAAATGAAAGCCAATTATCTGCCTTAAAATTCCAAGTTGAAAAAGCTCAATATTGGTATGAACATTTCAAACACAAATGAACTTCTGTTCAGAAAGTATCCACTCATGTAATATGCAAAACAGAGACGTTTACTGAAGGAGATACAAGATATAAGAAAAATTGTACAGAGAACAATGTACATAAAATGCCTCAGTCCCCTTCAAATTAGGCACCTTGGGACGTCCCACAGTTCTCCCAGTCGCCATCAGGCCCCCATCATACTTTCCTGAATCTCATCGATGGTCTGAAATCTCTTCCCTATCAAAGGTGATTTTAGTTTTGGGAAGAGCCAGAAGTCACGGGGTGCCAAACCTGGGCTGTAGGGGGCGCTGAGTCACCTGGGTGATTTGATATTTCACCAAAAAAGTGTGCACAAGACCTGATGCGTGAGCACATTGTCGTAGAGAAGCTGCCAATCACCAGGTGCCCAGAGCTATGGCCTTCTGAATCATCTGAATAGTTTCCCTGGAGGAATGTTTAAGCTTAACACAAAATTGGATGCAGATTTGTTGGTCTGTTTGCTCAGGCATTTTGAATGTGACAGCCACAAAAGTACATATGCTCACTCAACAGCATCTACCACCCCCACTGAGTAGTAGAGAGAAGTTTTCATTGTTCACACATGTGCATTCCAGTCCACTCTCCTTGGCTGCCAGGTTACATTAATGTTGTGGAAACCATTCTTGTTATATTAACAATGGCTGGACTTTTTCTGAACAGACCTCATATTCTTACAATTGATCAATCCAGGATAATCTTCGCTTTTCTAATAGAAATATTGTTTGAATCCTAATGATTTAATTAGTATTATATTAAAAGAAGAATACAATGTTCCTAGTTACCTTGATAATTTAAACCAAAATATAATTTTGTCTTATATTTGGATCTTTCTAGTGAAGGCACAAATTATTCAAATATTAAGTAATTTACTCATCTTTTTTATATGTGGAAATCAGAATGTCCTAATTTGAAAAGTAAATAAACACATAAGTCATCACAGAAAATGTCTATATTGACATCCTATTACCTTACAGATTCTTCCTCAATTTAATGCCCACATTTCTGCCAGACACAAGAGTTCTAAAACTGTAGTTCTGATGCTGTCATTTCTTTTTGTGACTCACAATGTACAATTCAGAAAATTTTATAGCACGTACCCAGCTTTCTATCCAGACTTCTTTCTCCCTTGTTAATATACCTTGTGTTTAGTTGCTGCTGTGACTGAAAGAAAACCTTTAGACATTATATTAATCCAAATTAAAAATGATTTGTCAATTATGCTTACAGTATTAACATATTTATTTACCCTCCCTCACTTTTGCGGAAGTGTTTGTTGAAATTGGGCTGCCAAATCATCCATTTCTTGATGGCATGAAATGTTTTTGAAAATTCATTAGGAGGTTTGCAATACTGTATGCTTAACAGAACCCAGTGAAATCATTCATTCAGAACTTTTCAAAGGTTCTGTTTCTAAATGTCACAAGCCTAAAAAAAGGAACACTTTAATACATGAAACACTTAGAATATTTTTAGGGTATATCAGAAAACATTTCCAAACATTCATTTTTTACATGTCTTGCTACGAATTCCTTTTTTAAAAATAGCAGTTGTTTTCTCATTCATTGGTAAAACAAAGTCCTTATCTTCAAAGTGGCAATTATGTTCATTTCGATGAATATCTGCGAGGCAGCCTGCTGCTGACACCGTTGTTTTTGCTTCCGGTGCGTCTGAGGGAGAGTTCAGAAAGGCGTGTGAGCTCTGCCGTTTTCCTGTTCGCGTGTGCTTGCAACTCAGAGTCCACCGCCTTCTTACAGGAGACTTCCTAAGCCCTTTGCTCATTGTACTAGTCTTCACTTAATGAAAAATAGATAATGTGTTTGGTAAGCCAGGCACATGTAAACTGAAACACATTGGAGGCTAAGAAAACAATTCCAGGACACCATACATTCCAGATACACCTCATCCCATGCACTCGGATTACCAGGGTATTGCATGTATCCATTATATTAAAGTTTATTTCTTTCCTTATTTTTAAAAATGAAAATAGTTTGTTAAATACTTAGAGAAAACCAATCATTTTTTAATCTATAATTGTGTGGAACTGTGTACCTTTATTACAGCTCTTATCTTTTGGATTTTAGTATTTTACACATTGACAAGATATAAAGTTTTCTTGGGCAGGGGATTAATTTTTGAATCCTAGTAGAGAGCACAGTACTTGTATATAGATCATGATGAACACATTTTGTTAAATGAGTGAGTAAATAAATGGCTTTGTTTCACTCAAACATGAACACTCAAGTGTACTTACTAATGCAAATGTATCTGATTTTTGCAGGCACGGGTCCAATATGGCTGAATGAAGTCTATTGTTTTGGGAGAGAAGCATCTATTGAAGAGTGTAAAATCCGACAGTGGGGCGTGAGATCCTGTACCCACAAGGAAGATGCTGGAGTCACTTGCACTTTATAACGTATCATCTTTCACTCATATTTATGAGATCGTTGAACATGATTTTTATTACTTTGCTCCACTAAAATCAGTTTAATTAATATTTAAGAGATTAAGAATATTGTCAAAGGACACAGAATATTTAAAAATCACTGGATAAACATATTGAAGACCTTCATACTTACCATGTGTCTGTTTTTGAGCCATTTTAACATCTACTTTGGCAAATGGAATTTTATAATGACATATATCGAATTGAATATACTGAAGTTCAAGGCTTCTAGATTATAAATGTCAGTAATAATGGACACAAATTTCAATCAATGGTCCCAGTTTATATCTTCACCATAAGATTATAATTTTGTCTTCTTTGTAATCTATTTGGTTGATTTTAATTTAATTGCTTTCTGTATAATGAGGTTGAGAAAATTTCTCAAGTTTGCAAAATCTTCAATCCACACATGTTTTTTAAAAAAGAATCTTATCCAGCTATCAAGATCTCTGATGAGCAATAACTGGACTGTTACATAACAATCTACATCATAAGTTTTGACCGTGTGAGAATTTTATCAGAAGGTTTTACATGCTCATGTACTAACACAGTCTGTAATAACACAGTTAATAACATAGTTACTTTACATGGTCATGTACTGACAGGTTTTTTGTTTGTTTTTGCTGAATCACAAAGTTAGTTGAAGCAGCACTTATGAGAAGAGGCACAGGCCTACCATTGCTAGGTGTCTGAATAATTGGTGGATCAAAAAAGTCATCTCTAACATGGAGCTTAGACTGCTATGCATTTAAGTCGAATAATTACATTGTTACAATTCTTACAGACCGTGTTTAAAATGCAAACAGCTACTTAACTTATTCCAGTTAAACTAACAGCATGCAAATGTCTTGAATGCAGAAGGAAGTGTCAGCTGCCCTTTGGAGTCTTGCACGAAGTCCTCCCTGCCCCCCGCTACTGTGCTGTGTTTATATGGTGTCAGCGTAGCTCTGCTACAGCTACATTTTCCAAATTTTCTTTCCCATATTGTCCGGTCTATCACGGACCACAAAAGACATTTTGTACAGGGTTGGGCAACCGAGTGTTCAGCAGCAGCTGTCTTTCCCTGTGTGCTCAGGAAGCCGCTGCAGGGGCAACAGGGCGCCAGTGCAGCCCACGCAGGCTGCCCCTGCTCTGCCGGCTCGCCTGGTCTGCAGCAAGGCAATGCCTGCACTTCCCCACGTTCCCTTTGGAGCCCCTGTCAGCTTCTCATGCTCCTCGGCTGGGTGCATATTTAGCTCCAGGATGAATTCACCACCTTCTCGTGAGGCTCCCTGAACCGTCAAAGCTGGAAGCAGTGAGAAATTGGTGCAGGCTCCAGCACTAATCCTCATGGGTTCCATTCTGTCCTTGCTCTCTCCCAGGTCATGTCCCTCTTCCTTTCTAACATGCCACCCTGCGGATTTCAGACGACCCCGCACCAGGCACAAAAACAGCAAACTTTTCTTAGACTGCTCAATCAGCAACTAAAACACACAATTGCACAAGGTCAAATATATCATAAAAGGAGCAAAGGGAAAGTAGCTCTGGACTTGGAGACAGTGGGCTTAGGCAGGACAAGAGAATATAAGGCATTGAAGAATTGCAATGAGCTTGATATTTAGAATCTTCCAGTTTACAAAGAAATTAAATCATTTTTAATTATATTGGCCGTTGAACTGTGCTATCTGGAGGCAAGGCTATGCTAAGTTTGAAACACATGGACCCAGGGTTTAAGAGCATTGCATTAAGTATCAGACTCTTATGCTGTAGGTTTTTCTACACAAATGTCAAGTACACAAGTGATATTTTTAAAGATTTTATTTATTTATTTTTAGAGAGGGAAGGGAGGGAGACAGAGAGAGAGAGAAACATCAGTGTGCGGTTGCTGGGGGTCATGGCCTGCAACTCAGGCATGTACCCTGGCTGGGAATCAAACCTGTGACACTTTGGTTCACAGCCTGAGCTCAATCCACTGAGCTACGCCAGCCAGGGCTACAAGTGATTTTTTTAAAAGGGAAATTACTATATCATTGTTCATAACTCTAGAATTGAATCTGACCCTTAAAACTTTTGGGGGTTCCCTGAATGAAAAACTTCAGAATTACACTCCTAGCTAGAGTAATTTTAGGTCATGGAAAAAAAAGACTGAAATACATTTGTTAATCATCCACTAAGAGCTTCCCCAGGGCCAAGTACTGGTACGTTCAATAAAACCTGTAGAACATTTCAATTATTTTCAAAAAAAAGTCTTTGATGCTTCATGTTTACAAGATTTGCCGCCCTGGCTGGCGTAGCTCAGTGGATTGAGCGTGGGCTGGGAACCAAAGTGTCCCAGGTTCGATTCCCAGCCAGGGTATATTCCTGGGTTGCAGGCCATAACCCCCAGCAACCGCACATTGATGTTTCTCTCTCTCTCTCTCTCTCTCTCTCTCTCTCTCTCTCTCTCCCTCCCTTCCCTCCCTAAAGATAAATAAATAAAAAATCTTAAAAAAAAAGATTTGCCTAAAAAGACTGGTAGTATTAATGACAAATTATTCTTCTTTTGTTAAATTCATAAAATTGTTCTCTTCTAAAGCTTCAAGGTAGAATAATGAGAAAACACAGCTACTATTCCAAACAAGGGCTTATTAGGGAAGACAAGGCCTGCTTACTTACAGAGAACCAACTTATCCTATATCCAAGTCAGCTGCCAGAGTGATTCGAGAGGTTAGTGGAATAACCTGGGAGAGGTCGGGAGAAAAAAAGAGAGGGGAAGGAGGAAGGACGCAGAGACATTAGGAAGGAAGGAGGGGAGAAAGAAAGAAGAGATGCAAGGAATACCAAATTTGCTAATTATCACTTCATCAGATGCTGCAAGTTTCGAGTTAAAAGGTAGGTCGGTTTGTGATTTTAAAGCATCTTATGTTAAAGAAACAAGGTAATACATTAATTGGGGAAAATGGCTCTGGGGACTATAGCAGTATAAGACAACTATTTCTATCTTATTAATTCAAATCTGAAAGCTGACTTCCTACTTAAAAATGTTACAGGTAGTAAGGGAGTCAAGAAATTTAAGAAAACATATTTATCGTACAAATAACTCCCACCAGTGGCTGTGTACTCAGATTACGGGTGGGAGGAGATTCCCACCTGTGAACTTGACTATGTTCACGTAGAGATGACAGACCAAACATTTCCTATGCTAGAACACCATTGGTTCTGTTTTCCATTTTAAAAGAGAATTACAATATTATCTTCTAATCATTAACACTGAGATAGTTTATAGCTTATTAAGATAAAGCACACATGCATAATGTTCTCTGTAGAATATGCTTTTGTAGAGATAAAAACAATTTATTTTATGTGTCTTCTCCATGAATAGGAGAGCGGCGTCATTGCACAAACAGGCTGATATTTATTAGAGAGCCGTAGGATGTGGTCAGTGTAGCAGGCCGGCAGGGGAAGACCCATGTTTCTGTCCCAGCTGTGCCTCGGGCTTACTCCATATTCTTTAGAGCTATTTTCCCTCTAATCCTCAAATCCCAGCAAACAAAATAGGAATGATAAGATGTGGCTTACCTAACTCAAGAGTGATTGTAAGAACCGGGGTAAACAAAGTGCAAACCAAAGTCCTTCATTTTCCAGTACCCATAATATTTACTAGCTCCCTCCACAGTTGGTGTCAATACAAGACATTGAATTCTGTGGAAGTTACTTTCGCTTTCTCAACGGTGGTGGTGTCATTTTGATGTGGCTTGGAGACCCCCACCCATTCCAGCTTTATGGGGGTTCAAAATGGGATAGCACTCTGTCAACGGAAATAGAAAGTCCATTTTTGTATCTAGAACTTTTCATTTACTCAAATCTTTAGGCAGGGAGAAATGCTGTGCGATCAGCTTAGTCTAATTTAGTGAAGAAATTATCTTGTCAATGAAAAGGCACCAAAAACAGTAAGGGGAACATTTCCAAGGCTGCAGGGATCCTTGGCTCATCCAGTGTAGACAGCCAGCTCCAGGCCTCCACAGACGTTCAGAGAAAGAAAAAGGAGAGAATGAGGAACATTCACAGGCTGATCCTGCAGGATGCCACAGCAGAAATCTCAGCTCGAGAAGCTTTGGCAAAAATGGCCCCGAAGAACCTACTTCCCCCAGCCTTCCAAAGCTTCCATCCCTTTACTGAGTAGTTTTCTCTCTTTACATCAATTTCCTCCTGTCTCCACTCTGTTTGTTTGTTATTTTCCACTCTCACTTCCAAAAACGGTCTGGGGTTTAATTTAAAAGCTGTTGGGTAAAGCTGGCTGGTCCGAGAGAATCCGGGCCAAGGCCTTAATCCAAACCACTTGCTGGCTGGTGTTGTCAGCCAGCACCTGACAGAGAGTACATCCCAGTCCGGCTGGGGAAAGTTAACGGAGAAGCAGGAAACAAGGAAGAAAAGAACACATTCGCGCCCTTCTTGGGACGTGGCTACCACCTGAAGGAGAAGAATGTGGTTTGGCACAGAGGAGAGTTGTATAAGCAGTGCCACAAAGAGATAAAACTTGAACCACCTGAGTAGAACACGAAGTTGTAAACAAACCAACAGTTTGCTGGAAGACCCAAACATGCAATTTTGGAGCTTTTAATTGGAGATAGGAGACCCCTGGGAGCTGCTGTACAGCCGCAGACAGGGAAGGGATATCTAATGATGATGGTGGCTGGAAGAAAAGCTGCGTAGCTGCAGGCTCCATGGACTAGCGATGTGCAACACCAGGCGTCCGTTTAGCAGGATAAGGGACCTGCTTTAGCTGAAGGGGACACTCCCCTCCTTCACAGCAATTTCGAGCAGGTCACAAAATCAGGATTGAAGTGTCACAATGCCACTAATGAAATTAAGCAAGCCAGGGACACTTTCTATGCATAACATTTTTCATCTTTAAGATATTTATACCATGTCTCTCTACTTCACAATGTCACTGTTGCAATAAGTTAGATTCTGATATGAAAGTCTGTGTAAGATGCATAGTCTAATAATGTTTCCATTAGCCCTATTGTTCTTATTGCTACCTAGGCAGAAAAGGTGAGAGACGCAGAAAAAATGCTTCTATTTTAGAATCAAGGAATGAGTCTGACTCAGTATAATTTTGAGTATGGAATTATGCATATGTGCAGGATGAATTTTTAATATATGATAATATTATAAATTCCTTAGTAGTGCTGATTAGTCATTTGGGCATAACTACCTTGCTTTGTTGTGTAATTCATGTTACCACATTGCCAGGTGCCAGCACAGTTACTAGAGACTCTGCTTTGATTTCCATACTTTCCTTTAAAGGCTGAAGCAAGGTGCACCTTGGTAGGTATATATAAGAAGCACAGTGTTATGCAGAAACTTTTAGGGGAAGAATTTGGGGCACAGAACCCCATGGCTGACTCCTCCCTCACTTACCAGCAACTTCTGGTCTTGTGGTTGATGCTGGATCCACCACAATGGATTTGACTCTATAAATGTCAACCAATCAGCATCAATTTTCCCATCTGTGTACATGAGAGTAATAAAAGTAGTTACAGGTCTGTTGGTAAAATTAATGAAATAATGTGAGAGCAATTGAAGGTATGTCGGCTTTATACGACAAGTCATTTTGAAAGAAGGTTCTGTCAACATCGAAAGACAATGCCGAGGGGAGCTTCATTACAAGCTTTAGTGACGAGGACAATGGGCAGAGTTATATACGTCCACGTTAACTCTTGGGGGGTGAAATTCTTGCTCCCCACCCCTAGAGCCTTTTTCTTTAATTTTTAAAAAATATTTTATTTATTTATTCTTTAGAGATGGGAAGGGAGGGAGAAAGAGAGAAAGAAACATCAATGGGTGGTTGCCTCTCATGTGGCCCCCACTGGGGACCTGGCCTGCAACCCAGGCATGTGCCCTGACTGGGAATCGAACCTGCGATGCTTTGGTTCACAGCCCGCATTCAATCCACTGAGCTACACCAGCCAGGGTACCCCTAGAGTCTTAAAAATATACTTGTATAACATGAAAGTCTGCAGTAGAATGCTGATTTAAGGAGTTCATCATTTTGAAGGATTATGTTTTTGTAGCAATGAGAAGTTTTTTCAGATCCGGATATTTTTGTATATATATACATACATATAAATACATACATATATATATGTATGTATTTAACTCCAGATCCATACTGAATTACAAAATAGGAGAAGGTGCTGTGCAGATTTTTTTTTTGCTCTTGTAGCCTGAACAGGGGAGTCTTGTAAAGTGACTAAATCCTTAAAATTTACATTAAATGGATCAATTTCTGTCTCCTCGCCAGCAAAAGGAGGTCTAGGTCCCTTCTAGGCTCTCCAGGAACTTTACTAGAGTGGACAGTGAGAAGTGACAGTCTAACCTGAGATTTGCTCTCCTCCTTCTTAGTTTACGGGTGTTCTGAGAGTAGGTTTCTTTTCCTGCATCGCCTCATTATGGGTACCACTCAAATTCCATTGCGGCCAAAATATCACAAACACAAATCCTTATAGAGAGTCAGATTAAGATTCCCAGTAATATAAGCAACTCAGGGCCCAATAAGAAATATCCAGTTGCTGATGTGCCCCACCGCTGGGACAGTCTCATTGGCTGATTTTACCTCCCCTTTGCTTCCTACTCCCCACCTTTCCTCCACCCGCTTTCCATCCTCTCAGGCTCTAACTTAGCACCCGAGGCTTAGGAATTGCTTGAGCATTGCAGGTCTTCCTTTTCTTTTATTTTTCCACTATGTACATGACTAAGGAGTCTTGCTTTCGTCCTCTAAATCGACCAATAGACACTTACCTAATCATTATCATTCTCTCTAAGAAGATGTTACAAGCAGCTAAAACAGTATTCTTTCCCTTCTTACA